GGGGGGGGGGGGATGGTCCTGAGAGAGGGCGTCTCAAGGAAGGAGGCACGTAGGATTTGGCAAGAGTTGAGGAATCTCAAGTACCAGTAAAGAGCCCACTGAGGTGGAAAGCACGGTCAGCTGCTGGGTGAGAGAGTGCGGGCTGGGAATGGCTGGGGGGAGCTGTAGGGAAAGAAGGTATTTGGCAAGAAGTCTTTACTTCTGAGATACCACAAAGGTCTCTGCCGATGTTGGAGAAAATCAGTTCCTGGTGGCATCTGTCTGCCTGGCTGTGCGATTTCTGCTTCCCCTCTCCCCCAGTAAACCCCTTCAGGTTCTGCATTGCATCCTGACCCCCAACTCAGCCTTGTTCATGTGCCATTGACATCTTAGGACACAGGTATTTGCGTCATCCTGTGTCTGAGCGAAGATTGAATATAAAGGGCCGTCATAATTTTAAAATTATATGAGGTATGACTGAGGCTGAGAGTAGTATGGCTCATTTATTTTTCTTCTTTGATTTATATTTTCACAAAGCTGATTGAATACACATCATGATGCTAACGCAAAAGCTTAGGTTTTTAGGTCCTACTGAGAGTGACCTTTTGATAGTTATTTCAGCCATTTAGACTGCTGCAAATAAAAAGTACAGACCTAGTGTTTGAGTGCCTCCTAGGCACTTTATGTGACATTTCTTTTAACAAAAAATACAAAATCATTTTGTTTTTAAGCATAAACTTACAATTAAAAAATGCATTTACTTAAAACAAAAAAACCTAGCTACCTATCAGTATACTCAGATGGGGGCCGATTCAAGGATGGTGGTCAGTTTGCTGGATCTGTCTTGAACCCGTCTGTACTCAGAGCTGCCACCGTATACCTGACGGGTGCTGTCCATTTAGTGCTCTGTTGGCATCTCAGGGAATTGTGCAGTACTTAGCTGTTGAGGCGGCCAGCACCCCTCCACCAGCCATATCATGGACCGTTGAACGTGGGTGGAGTTGGGATGCAGTGAAGACGCAAAAGAGCTACTCAGCTGCAGTCCCATAGGATCGGCATCTTAAAAGTGTGCCTGGTTCCCATGTGTCTGCATTCCCCGTATTTCTATAAAATATGAGTGTGGCTGTGGTTTTTCCTGCATTTGTTACTATGAAACCAGAAAATAATCATGTCCTGATTTTATATAGCAACTTTGTTGAAGTACTAAATAGTAGGCAACTGTTAATACATGAGAAAGATACATATGGTATCAGACTACTTTTAAATTCCAGAAATACTAATAATGTCACAAAAAGAGAAAAAGTATGTGATTGTCTATTTTTACTTCTAAAAAATATATTTTATGTAAATTGAAAATGATGGGAAATCCTGAAATTTTAACACAGATAATTATATCCAAACTCAACTTAAATTTAAAAGATTTTTATAAAAAGCTGAGGAGGTAACTTGAAATTGCAATATTAGTCTCATGTCTGAATCTCTCAAAAGATAGGTCTATTTTAAGGAGTTGTGTTTTTTTGTTTCTTTTTTGTCCATATATGGATATTAGTACTATGGAAATCTGTTGGGGGAGGGGAACTGGCTTCTCTGCAGATTTTTCTTTTTTTTTGGAGAATTTTTTATGAGTTTATTTGAGCCAGACTGACAACACATGCGGGGAAACGATCTCAGATGCTCCCAAGAATAACCATTTTGCAGCTTTTATGTGTCTGAAATTAAGAAGGGAACCAAGGAAGATTACATGGAGGTGGGAGAAAGCAAGGCAGGGATTGGAATTACAGGGTAGTTAAGATTATGTGCTCTCTGGAGGGTTAATACCCCCTTTAGGGGTATTACTTCTGGTATTTCAAAGGTGTGTTACCCGAGGTGCACAGGAAAATGGACAGGGCTGGCTTAAAACCTTTCACTACGGAAGTCACAGGCCCGGGGCACGATCACCCAACGTGACCTGCCTTGTTCGGAATTTTTTATCAGATCACTCTGAGAGGTTACTTTCTGTCCAACCCCCTTCCCTCCACAGCTCCCCCTTTCGGTCATAATTATCCTGAAGGGTGCATTTGACGACCAACCTTTTGGTCAGACTGTGGTCTCACAGCACTGGGAAGGCCCGTTCCTAGGATGTCTCATTGACTGTTGGGGATGGGGCAGTGCTGTAATCGCGGGAGCTGAGTTGAGGCCGAATTTTTCCACGGGAGGGGCAGGTAAGTGGAATGCAGTCTGGTCGTACGGCTTTCATTGCAGGGAGGGAAAAACAGCTCCATCCTTTCTGTCCTGTGAACCGTCACGACCCGAGTTTTGCCTTCTGGCTCGTTTCTCTGTGGTATAACATTTACATGCCCGTGAGGAGTCTTAGCAGCTACCTTATTCAGGCTCGGTAATCATAAACAAGTGGACTACATAGGAAGACCCGAAGGACAAGTGTGACCATCGTGACTAATGTCATGAGCAGACAGGTAAAGACGAAATGGGTGCTCAGGTGTACCGGCCCTGCGCACGTCCTGGGGCAGCTGTCTACCTCTGGTGTCAGCGGCTTTTCAGCCGAGAGTTTTTGATGCCCGTTGGTGGGTAGATGTCCATTGCGGTTAGGTCCCTTCCAGTGAGATTGGGGAGCGTCTCCTATTTGATGTCCCTTCCAATAAACAAAATCTCCAGGTGGTAGTCAAGCAATCTTTCAAGTCTTGGTCTCCTGGGAGCTCCCTGGGAAAGAAAGCAGCAAACAACTTGGCATTTTCTAGAAATTATCAAAGCCTGGTGGAAACACACTAGTTTGTAGAACAACAGGTGGATACAGATTTTACCCTGGAGGCATTTACAATTTACACCTGCCCTTGACAAGTCACATTCCAAATGACCTTCCCGTGTTAAGGACAGCCGTGCTCCATAGGTCGGAGAATTGGGTTGGCACCTGAAGGACATCATAAGTTGATTCATTTATCTAGATCCTCTTGAAGCTTCAAGAGGCCAGTTAAATGTGTTTTCCGTTCTACCTAATTTTAAAGCTGGCTTTTTCTAATTGTGCATGCAAACGATTCATTTAGAAGTAGAGGATCCTCATCTTGTCCGTCTTCATTAACACGGGAGCTGACTGGTGGCCCTTGTTGGCCGCAGAGCAGGATTTCCCGCGTGGATTTTGAGATCTATGGAATCTGAACAAACTTCTAGGGAAAAGCAGCCTTTCCATGCGCCGTGTCTCCAGAGGAGCCAATGCTGTGGACATCCCTGTAGGACCGCTTTACGCCTAGAGGAAATTCTCAGGCGACCCCACGAAGATGCTTAGCCACCTAGGAACACCTGAGCAGGGGCGGCGAGTGCTCGCCCCGCGTCACGGAGCCGCAGCACGTTGCAAGGCTCAGGCCCCTCTCTCAGGGCGAACCCGCCCGTTCCAGGGCGCCCTCTGCAGAACGCTGTTCATTATTCACTTGAACTGCGTGTGCTTTGGAATCAAATCCAGCTTAGTCCGTCGGGTCATGTCTCTGGTATTTTAGTTGAGCGTGGCTGTGAAGAGAGTCCATGGCCAGCCTTCCTGCCCTTAACATCCTTTCCCCTACGGCTGGCTCACCCCCCACCCTCTGGGAAGGTCCCTTGTTATAAATGATGGTTTGGATCCAGAGAAACTGCCCTTTGGGGCAGCCAATTTGGGCAAATTTGTTAGAATGAGTATTTACAAACTAGTTTCTAGCGATCCCAAATATGGCCAGTTTTTACTGTCATTCATTTTCACTCCTAGCTGTTGGACGGCTGTCTGTCTTCCCCTCAGACATGCATAGACTGCCCCACCTTGAGGCACCGTCGTTGCAGGGCCTCTTTATCAGTTGTTCTGTCTCTCCCATGCTCAGGTTATTTTTCATTAGAGGTGATCTCTTCCATCTCATTTGAAACACTAAGAGACACACTTTGATACATTCCCATGGCAACAAGAGATTGGTGGCAGGAAATCTGGAAAAGTTTTAGTCTCAGCTAAAATACAAGGAATCAGGCTGCTTTGGAAGAGTTTGGAGACTAAGAGCTCTTGAAGTTAGATTAAAAGCAGCTTTAGCTGGGGGGG